TGTTTTTTTACTATACCTTTTCTTGGTATTTAAGAAAAGTACATTATATATATATTTTTTTTTTTTTTTGAGACGGTAGTCTCGCTCTGTCACCCAGGCTGGGAGTGGCAGTGGCCGGATCTCAGTCACTGCAAGCTCCGCCCCGGGTTTACGCCATTCTCCTGCCCTCAGCCTGCCGAGTAGCTGGGGGACTACAGGCGCCTGCCACCTCGCCCGGCTAAGTTTTTGTATTTTTAGTGAGACGGGGTTTCACTGTGTTAGCCGAGAGATGGTCGTATCTCCTGACCTCGTGATCCGCCCGTCTCGGCCTCCCAAAGTGCTGGGATTACAGGCTTGAGCCACCGCGCCCGGCCTAGAAATATAAACACACAAATATTTACCAATGTGTAACAACTGCCCATAGTATTCAGTATAGTAACATGTTGTACAGGTTCGTAGCCTAGGAGCGATAGGCTATACCATATAGCATAGGTTATACCATCTAGGTTTGTGTAAGTACACTCTATGATGTTTGCACAATGACATAATCGCCTAAAGATGCATTTCTCAGAATGTATCCCAGTAGTTAAGTGACCTATGACTGTATCTGGCCTAAACACAGGGGTCAGCAAAATATATATTTCTGCCTTGCTATGTAGAAAATGTATCGTTGTCACCAGATACCCTAAATTATCTCTCAATGCTTTCGCGAAAAGCCAACGAATAGTACTATGGCGGGGCCTAAGATGCCTGGCCTAGCGGCCGTTTGTTGCTACAAGAATAGAGACAAAGGTGGACCTTGCGTCCACATGATCAATCCATATCCCTCGATCCTCTGCCAGACTCAACCTCCGCTAGCGATGGTTGTAGAGATCCATATTATCAGTATTTTTGTCAAAGCCATGTCAATAAGGTCATTCTAGGGAGGTTCCTATCCTTTAACACAATTTATTCCATAATAAAATAAAAAATTAAATAAAGATATAAAATAATCACTCTTACTATATGGTAATGTAGAAAAGAGGCCGATTTGGCCTGTGCTATATAATATTCTTG